GAGAGAGAGAGGAGAGAGAGAGGAGAGAGAGAGGAGAGAGAGAGAAGAGAGAGAGAGGAGAGAGAGAGAGAGAGGAGAGAGAGAGGAGAGAGAGAGGAGAGCGAGAGAGAGAGAGAGAGCGAGGGAGAGAGAGAAGGAGAGAGAGAGAGAGAGAAGGAGAGAGAGAGAGAGAGAGAGGAGAGAGAGGAGAGAGAGGAGAGAGAGGAGAGAGAGAGAGAGAGGGAGAGAGGGAGAGAGGGAGAGAGGGAGAGAGGAGAGAGAGTGTGAGAGAGGAGAGAGAGAGCAGAGAGAGAAGCGAGAGAGAGTGAGAGAGAGAGAGAAGAGAGAGAGGAGAGAGGGAGGAGAGAGAGAGAGAGAGAGACGAGAGAGAGAGAGAGAGGGAGGGAGAGGGAAAGGGAGAGGGAGAGTGACAGAGCGGCAGCACAGCACACTCACTCAAGATACTAGGTGATGTTCCAAATCTTCCCCGCTGAGGCCTTCATTAGTGAGTGTACGAAGGCAATACAATTCGAGCGTCACCCAGAATATCACCCGGATCAGAGCGTAACGACCTGGATTCAACAGCAAGGCAAGACTGGATAAGACTTCGATAAAGCATGCTCAAATCGATTCTGAATACAAACCTCCAAAAAACAAGACCAGCAAGAACCGAGTGGAAAACAAATATGGAAGTAGCGGTGTGCTTACGATACACGCAACGTGTCCAAAATTCTTGAGTTCTAGAGCTCAGCTGCTGCGTTTTCCTTTTCTTCCCTTCCTTTGAGGCTGGCATCAATGGGGAGGGCCAGTCCCACTTTGGACCTGTGGCCGTCTCCTGGCGAAGGAATTGCACTCGATCCATCCGGTCTAAGGAAGGATGCTATGACCCAGGGTTCTACAGCTTGTGTTCATTGTTTGGTTCATACGTAATTGCTATCATACTTGTGGCCCCCATCTACGCATGTAATTACATACCATAATACCATCGGGGCTTTGGGAGTCTCCAGGATTTTGATCCGGGACAAAGGCAGTTTCCAGGAGGCACCGGTGCCGGTCGATCGCATGCCAATCACGAGGGAATTCGTGACGGTGCCGAAAGTGCGAGTGGGTGGGCGAATTGATGCATGGGGGTCAGGCAAGGTGGTGGTGAATGTCTCTGCAGTCGGCATAGTCCCTAAATGACCTGCCTCTCAAATGAGGCAACCCAAAGTACTTGGCTGTGTATGGTGGTTTTTGTTGTTTTTGTGTTTGTTCAAAGGTTCAGGTCATATTTACGTGCATTCCGCATTTATATTAGCAGAGGTGGTCTGCAGAAGTTGTCCTGTGAAATTTAAAAGGGTTGCAGTATGTCACGCTATGTCTTACATGCGTCCTGCAGACCTCCAGCTCCAGCGTAAACTCCTGAGTCTAGCCACTGCACCAGCTCTAGACCCTCCACCAGCGGCTCCGCGGCTCCGGCGGCCTCAGTCCATCAAGACCCTCTATGACCGACCAGTGCAATGCGCCGGGAGGGCCTGGATTGTAGGCCGTTTTGGTCTTTAGGGATGTTTGGGGGGTGAGGGGGCCTCCATTGTTTGACTGGTGGTGCCTTATGGGGTTTTGGTTGAACATATCAACTGAAATCCGTAGTGCAATATGGCCAAATGATCTCCAAATGTCAGCCAGTCCACTTGACTGGCACGATGCAGGAAGTTGGCACCACTAACCCATCCAGACAGAGAAAAACATCGTCGGCTCATCGGTGCTCACTGCAGCAAAAAAAGGATATGCACATATATGCACATCTTCAACAGAAAGTTGGTTTTTGCCCTCGTTGCTAGTTTGGGCGAGGTGTGTGTGTATGTGTTATTGCCGCAGTTTGTTTCAAGGTTCAAGGAAATGCACAGGCAAATCAACAATTCTTTCATGCAATCATTTCAGTCAGTTCGTCCTCATGTAGGGAAAGAATTGAATTGTAACCCCTAGCATTGCCGCAACAATCTTCTGAAGGGTTGCTACTAGGCAGAAGCACAGATGGAGCCCAGAACAGTCAGGTGGTGTTTAGCTGCGCTCATTTCTTCACCATGGCAGATGACCTTCCAGAAGAGCATGTGCAGCGCACGCTGGCAGAGCTTCATCCACAACCTGAAGAAGAAGCTGAGGTAAATGCCATTGAGGAGGACAGCTGCTTCCTGAGTCCAGAGGCGGAAACACGTAGTTTGAACCAATTCTTCCCCTTGCATCGTTGTGACAGAGAAGAGGTGGAACACCACATGGTTTTCATTTTGCACCTATTTCCTCCCCTGAAAATTTGTGTTCTCCCTTTGTTGCATGGTATTTCATCGAGAATGGTTTTCGAGGCTCACTCAAAAACAATGATATTTACAATTATTTACGTATAGTATATATATTTACTTATACACTTGTCTATGGCAATCCTCGAGTTTCCTATTGCATCCTAATACTGGTAGGGTGCCACTCAAGGTTCTGGCAGCTCAGGGGATGGTGCCTGGTAGATAAACTGGCAACTTGAGTGGGGCCAGTTGCATATCCTCCTCGGTCGAGTTTTATCCGCTTAGACTGGGATTGCCGAAGATGATGTTCGCGTATCCTACGGGTCCCACTCAACCCACGGAACTGGACAGTCGGATAAGCCCACATTCCGGTCGCGATCTTCAGTGAGTGACCGCATGCTTTGCGAAAAAGCTCCGTTTCGGGCACTTGCTTGAATATGTGAGCAAACATCAGCATTACAGTGTGCGGTATGGCCCCATGGCAGTCAATTTTTGGATGGTCTGACATGTGAGAAGCCTTTCAACCGCATGCAGGTTCTTGGATCAATGTTGTGATCCACAGGCTCACTGGGAAGTATTATATGCTGGCTTGCCGGCAGTATGGTCTTCGGCTTGAGTTTGATTCCATACAACTACTCACAAAGCATTGGTTTTCAATTTATTCGACGTGACGTTCCCAGCACTCCAATGAATGGTGATGTGGCAGTCAGACTGTGCCGATGGTATGGTACCCGGGCCATCGCCGCTCGAGCGGGAAAGAGGATCCAGACTCCTAGAGTCTTCAGCAGCGTGCTGCACCCTCCAAACCTCCTGGCTCTCCATTGTTTAGTTTCACTACACAACCTTTTTTTGTGCAAGGCACGCTGAGTTCTCCAAGGCTCTTCAAGGTTGGGGCTTCGTTCTTCCGTGGCAGACCTGAACCGCAGACTTTCACCCACGGTTCGAGTGACCTGCAGGTTGCAGAGTGACCACCAAGTAAGTAGATTCAAAAGTGCATCAGAGAACCGGTATCCACATGTATCATCATGTATCCACTATCAATGGGTCCATCACACCCTCACCATTGTTCTAGAACAAGAGTCCAGTTTGCACCAGAACGATCAATTAAAGCCACGTCAAAGTACCCTTTGCAGCTCTAAACCATTAGGCCAACTCTGAAGACAGGTCAATCTTCTGCAGATTTCTTACACCCCTTACCTCTCTTGAGATCTTGTGATTGAACAGTAACTTATGTTTGTAACCCCTTACCATCCCTTACCTGATCAGGCCAGCTCACAGGTCTGTAACTTGTGTCCTGCCACCCAGGAGCTTTTGGCACTTTGCCGCACCTGCGCGGAGCAGCTGGGCTTGGTATCGCCTGGCACGCCTGGCGGCCTGCGGCGCTCGGGGGCCTTCCAGCTGGGTGCCCAGGTGCGGCACGCGGAGCTGGACGTGGTCTATGTGCCTTGACGGCACAAGACGGCATCGGTCAAGGTTGGTGCTTCGTTGAGTCTGGGGGAGGGGTGGACAGAAAGATGTTGTTGTTTTTCCTCCTGGGGGGTAGCCCGCTAGGAGGGAGAGGTAGCTGCTAGCTGCAAGTAAGCTACTACCTAGGACGCAGGATAGCTTGCGCTTCTTCAAGGAAACTCGACAGGACGGCGGGGGAAGCTTCCTTGAAGAAGCGCTCGCACGAATGATTTGGTTCCTCGATTTTTTGGGAAACTGAAGGTTCCCAAAATGATACCTTGCCCATCTTGCGGTGATGATGGGCAGCAGGGCGGGGGGATCCAGTGACTGGACTCCCGATTTTGGACGAAGGTCAAAGGTGAAGACATGTGTTGAAAAGGGAGGAGATTGAATCTGAATGGTCAAAACACCAACAAAATTGAAAACAGTTTGAGTTTAAACCGAGACTCCTTCAACAGAGGTTGCTCAGCAGTTTTTGATCTACAAGCCTTCCTGTAGGGATGGTGGTGTGGGGAAGAAAGTTGTGGTGAATTTAGTTCATGAATGAGTTGTTTGTTGGGGGTTTGGCAAGAGCATGCAGAAATGTTGAAGAATCGGATTGCTGACTCTTTATAATTCAGTGGGTTTCACTGTGGCAACGTTAGCTCATCGGCAGGACCTGATTGGAAGGGACCTATCGATCTGGCTCAATGACTTGTAGTGTCCCACTTTGTGCTGAGAAACACAAACTCATTCGACAGCCTTTGTACATTGTCGTACTTATAATATAATATCATAATATCTTTTTTACAGTACATAGTTTGACCAGCAGTTACTGTATGATAGCATGTGAGACGGCAAGCGTGACAGGCAAAAAGACCAAATGACATATCATCATGTTGGCCCAATGCCGACCTAACCAGAGGACCAGAATGGAGATAATGCAGAAAAGTTGGGCACGACGTCCACTCCGCAAATAGCCTGCAAGCAGCCCTCCAAGCGGAATTGACAGACCATGATGAGCAATTTCTTGTGTTTGGCCTATGGCCATTCAAGGCAGGATTCACTCACATTACCTACAACAAAACATACATAATTATTACTTTTCGATTTTGAGGGCGACCTCAAACCCAACGGTTGATCGCCATTGATCGCTTCCAACATCGGGAACTTCGGTTCATCCACTCCGACCCCTCCGAGTCCGACGCTCGGGACTGACCTCAGGTGCTGCCAGAGACGTCCTCCATCGGTCCCTTTGGTCCGTTCCTGGAGCTCTTGCAGCAGAGGCTTCAGGCCGAGAGATGCCAAGAGCAGCTTCGGCTTGGGTCCAAAAAGGTCTTGAAAGGATCCAGATTGACCCCTGGGAGACTCTGGATACGTGGCCATATATGGCCATACTAGTTGAATCAAATGGGGGTGCTTTTTCAAGCATACAATGGCAGAGGGCCATCACAGGCTGATGGTCCTGGCCGGGGTCGTGTCCGGGGTCGGCTGTTCTTCGTAGATGTTCGTAGTGAAGGGGTGGTCCCCAAGCCGGTGGAAGTGTGACTGAACCATAGGATACATGCACAACAATTGTGCTAATATAACTATACCTATATATAGATCACTATCACCGTAACAATATTAGTCATTTGTCATGTTGGAACTTCTGCTCGCTGTGCCTTTCATCTCCATTCGAATGTATATTGGATCATCGGATCTCCCAATGTTCATGCCAAGCGATTGTGATCGCAGTCCGGGTCCGGTCGAAGGGGAGCTTTTCGGTGATGGCAGCTTCGGACAGGTCATGTAGACTTTTAACGCACACCCCATTTTGCATCCTAGCACCTCTTCAATGGGGGGCCTTTTTCAAGAGTCTACATTACCTTTGGCTGAACCGTGTTGCCTGGCCCGAGAATTGCCAGGCTTCCAGTCAAGCTGCTGTGGCGCCTTGTCGATCCCAGGGCTCCTTGGATGCTCCAGGGCTGCGTTTCATGAAAGGCGAACGCTGGGTGCAGCTCTTTTTGGCGAAGGTGCGGCAAAAAGGGAGAGGTGGGAGGAGGATGTGATACTATGTGATACTATAGTTTAGTCATCACAGTGGATGGAATTTGAGAGCGGAAGTGCATGCGGGACTTATATTGGCTATCATAACCCCACCACTTACTTATAGGGCGTTTGTTCCCGTCAAGTTTCCACCCGAATTTTTTCGCATGTTTAACTCATGCTGTTTGCTCACCACATCGGTCACATCGCTCACCACATCGGTCACTCTTCCATACTTGGAATACCATGGACCAAATAGCTTTCCCAAGCAGGTGTCGTACCAACTTGTACATGCAATTTGAATTGCTTCAGTGCAAAATGACCTCCGAGAACGGTGAGCTGAAAGGTCATTTTGATGCTGTTGATCCACGCACTCACACTCGCATCTCAACCAATCAACACCAAAGCTCACACGGAGCTGTTCAGTTGTTCTTAGGCTGTGAACTACTGTCTCAGACGCGCATATTGTGCTTGTTCATGGAAAAACCTTTAAACGTCCCTTGAAGCCATGTCAAGGGACAATGGTGGTAAAACATGTGTGTGTTTGATGGGAAGATGACGCTTCTGATCTTCAGCTCCTGGCTCGAGAGGCCACCTTTGTTTCAGCTGTCGGCTTGCCATCTTAGGATTCCCTCTAGGAAAAGAAAGCGGGTTCTTGGCAGGTCCTTTTTGGTAATTGGATATCTGGTGTGTGCATCCCCGCACTTTGGAAAAGGTTGGATTTGGGATGGTTTTGGAGACTTTGGTGGGAGTTTGTTAGGATTTCGATGGGGTGTTAGGATTTGGTGGGGCAGAAGTGTGGAGCATGCCCAAAAGTTGGAAAGTGCACTTGGGAGAACGATAGGAAAAAGGTGGGGTAGTGGCATGGGCCCATCGCTGACGGCTCATTTTGAGTGAACAAAGATGTGCAAGTCATCATGTGACACGGAACAACCTTGGTCTTACTGGGAAATATTGAGGTTTTGACAAGATATTTTTTGGCTCTCTTGGGTGTATGTTGGTTGGTTTCCTGAAGGATATATATTGTTTGTAATTATATAGGTCATATTTCGTGAAGCAGTGCTCTATCAAGGGGGTGTGGTAGTGGCACGAACCCGAGCAGTCCGTGACACAAGTGATGGAACACACCCTGGGTAGTCTGTGTCACCCTACAACCCCACAAAATTTGAGTCACCCCCACGTGCACACTGCGCTTGAGAGGAGCAACGCGGCTTGCCCAGCGACACCACCGTGCCCTCCATGGCAGCGCTCCACGGCCTTGAGGCGCGAGGTGACGAGAGGAAGAAGAATGGCTCCTAGTAGCGTCCTTGCTCCTAGTAGTACGGCCAGGAGCCCTAGTAGCATCATGTAGCGTCCTCTATTGCCTTAGAATGAAGTGGTTTTTATTCATCAACAGTCACCATTGAGATACATTGAGCATCCCCCCATGACATGACATGACATCTCACTATTAGCCACCCACTTCTGAGATTTGGAGGATGACCTTCAGCTTTTCCCATAATTAGACATTGTGTTCATTATGTACGTATCAGAGCATGATGTTTAACCAACCACGCACATGCAAATTAATTTGAACACATATGTGTATATATAATTATATATATATATGTGTGTGTATAACTACATATATGTTCAGATTTTGAGTGGGATTCGTGCCAAATCATCAATATTAGCTAAATCTAGATCGACTTGTTGCTCGCTTGACGGCCACTAGCTTTGCCTCAGCCATCCCACTTGTTCAGCCATCGCTTCTCCGACGGAATGCTAGAGCGGTTGCTCAATGTGAAACCCAAAAAAGCAAGTAGAGAGAGAGAGAGAGAGTTTGCTCTTGACATAGGATGTCCCTTTTCTGGAGGTGCGGTAGTTCATGTTTTTGATGAGACTTTTTGCCATGTTGCTATCGGCATCTATAGGCGTTTAGGATTGGACTGCATTTGCCTGTGACATCACAGATTGGACAAACATCAAGTCTCCGTTATTTGGGCCACGGCTGCAGCTTGTTTGATGCCAGGTTTGTCAGCGTCTCAAGTTAGTCATTGATTGACGGGTCCATTTTGGCTCAGACTGCAGAAGGCCGAGCGTTGAAATTGGTATCCCCAAATAAGCAGAAGATGTTCTCCAATTGGAGAAGCCGCACGGCGACGAACAAAGACAGCTTCTTGGTGTAATTACTTGAGATGCTTGTTTTTGTTCGATCATCAATCGGAAGCCCTTGGTTTGAGACAAACACCCAGAATTTGGTCGTGAGAATTGCCAAAGGAACTTGTGAATCCTTTTGAAGATTTCCGCAGCGGATCCATAGGTTTGTGGGATATAGCAAACTGTTGATTAGTAAACCACTAGTATGGATATACATATATAATATATATATACATAAAGCCATTCTGACAGCTTGTTAATTAATCAACAGCTAATTGTGCGGTTTAGGTGATCAGTGTCCAAGGCTTGGAGTGCTCGAAGCAGCTTCCGCTAAAGCCTAAAAGCTCGGTGCATTTCGCCACGGACGTGCAAGTCCTGAATCGCTGTCCCCTGGAACTGAAGGGTGATGTTGATGTTGTTGATGTTGTTGTTGTTGTTGTTGTTAGCTGTTGGTGGAGCTGAATGGGGAATTCTCGAGGACGAACATCCACTTGTCGTTTGAAATGTTCACCGGTCACATTCTTCTGGACTTTATACCTTGCAATCAGTCAAACCATCAAATCCTTGTTCCCTGCTGATCCTTGATTTGCTGGTCGAACTGGACCAGACACCAGCTCAAGGTCCTGGTGGCAACTTCTCCGATCACGAGCTCTCTCGTGCGGACTCCTTTGCATCCACACGCGCCAGCACCGGAACCAGCCTATCTCACGGGAAGAGCATGGGTGCCCGTGAGACACAGCGGAAGATGATTGTGACACATTTCTTGGATGCCAATGGTTTCATGCACCTTGGGAAAGCTTCCAACGATTTCTTTGAGCCATGATGTCCTGGACCCCCAAGCAAACAAGCCAAAGAGGAAGTTGATCCTTTGGTTAGAACTGGGGCTTTGTTCTTCCACCGATCGTGGCTTGTGAGTGAACCACCAGATCATCCAGATCCTCTATTGCTTTGAACCTTATCCGCTTTGAAGACATTGAGCAACCTGTGATGTAGAATGTTGTACTCCCCTCCCAAACTGAATCCAGGTCCTGTCGCAACACATTAATGAAGTTGCTATATATTGAAGACTACTGAAGCATGTTGTCACTCATTGACCGCGCTTAGCCCTCTTACATGCTGTATGCAGCCATGGGCGGATTTCCCATGAAAATCAATGATATCCATCCAGGAGAGTGTACTGTTCAACAACCTGTTCCAATACCTGCAAACTCCACTTGGTTATAATTCATGCAGTTTCCCAAGACTTGTTTAAAAGAACCACTTGTATCCGAACTTGCTGAACTAGTCGATCCCATGTTGGAACCTGCAAATCCTGACCGTAGCAACACTTCCGACAAGCAAACCGTCCCAATCCGGACCGTTGATAGTTCTTGCTGCTCAATGCTGGAACCATACAAACAAACCCTTCAGAACCCACAAAAGAGCACAAATCCTACCAAACTTGGAAAACATAAATAATGTTAGCATGAAAAAACACCTGCAATCCCTCTCAAAAGACAATTGTGTTTGACACAAGGATTTTACACCTTTTGGATCCTGCAGGCATACTGCAAGTGGCAAACCGCCCATGCTTCAAATAAGACATAAGCCCAGCATTTCGTTAGGACGTGTTCGTCGTGGTGTTTGAGGTGCTCGGCTCCCTCGCCGCCCATGCGAGAGAAAGGGGGCAATGATGTCTTCAATGAATATGTTTAATATGTTTGTGAAGGTCCAGCAACCTCAGGCCAGCAACCAGCGAAAACCAGCGTCAGCTCTGCAAGCCAAGGCGGAAGAATTGAACAGATGCGAATCGCTGGGTTTTCCCAGTGTATCGGCCAGCACGCGTACCAAGCACACAAGAGTCGAAACGAAACCGATGCCGCAGGATTCGGATATATACATGCCTTTACAATTAGCAGCAAAAGCAACCCTGAATCACACTGGCGGAGCGAGTGCCATGACCCTTGTTTGGGTCCTAAGACACCACGAGAGAAACGGTGACGCTGTACTTTTGGGGTCCACGGTACGCGCAACGCAGGCACTTAAATGTTGGATTCCACGGGGAAGTCGCCGACCGCTGCAGCCCACCGTTAGAAACTGCAGGTGCCTTGAAAGGCACCGAAATCAACGGTCATGAGCCTCCGTTTTGGCCGCAGTTTTGGCCGAGGTTCTGTGGAAGCCGAGAAGTTCCATAAAATGTGGAGGTCGCGGAAACACTCAAAAAATATCAACACATCCTTCCTGACCGCACTACTGTATATTACTGTACATTCTTTATTCAAAGCAAAGGTGCGGAAATCCAACAAGGCCTTCAAAACCCTGCAAGCGTTACCGCACGTGAGACGGCATGGGATGAACGCTTAAATACAACAAGCAACCCGTACATTGGCTGAGAGCGCCGTGACCCTTGTTCGAGACTAAGGCACATCAATGAGGCTAAGGCCTCCTGGTTTGGTAAAAGCTATCCTCTCCACGTGGCCGTTCGCCAGAACAAGACCGCCGTGGTCAAAGCGCTGCTCCTCTTGGGCGCGTGGCGTGAGGCCAAGAGCCGACGAGGTGAAACTGCGGAAGAGCTGGCGCTCAGGCGAGGAGTCGATGTGAACTTCCTTGGTATAGAACAGACAGGTATAGAGAACAACCCAAAACAAGTAGAACACCATCAACACCTGGTAGAAACAACAAACAGGCGCTCTTTGGTGATGGTTTTCTCCTTTATTAGCGGGTTTCTATTCGCAGTCTCTAGGTTTAGAGCAAGTGGCCCCACGATATTAATGAGTATACTTATACCCGTCACGGGGATTGTAAGCCTGTTTGTGAGTTTCTGTCCTATCATACTATCTACTGTTTCTGTCCATGTTCAAGACCAAAAGAAGCCTTTTCACCAGCCAGACACAAGCCAGGTGCCAACAGCGTTGGGGCGGATATGAAGAGATCCTGAGGGTTTTTGAAGAGGACGTCGGTTGACTGTGACTGCAGAAGCAAATCGTTTAAACGAAGATCCCAAGAAGAGCAAATCATTTAGACGATACCTATTCTAAGATTCAAGGCACCTGACTCCAGAAAAGGGGATTTGCTAATGCCCATATATTGACAGAGCTATATAGAGTATACACCATATGTGCAGCGAACAACTAAATTATATAGAGGGAATGTGTTTTGTTTTAACTGCTTCTTAGTAGTGTTTGATGTGTGTGTTTGGTTAGAAAGAGCTCAGCAAGAACAAAGGCTCTTGGATCAAGAACATTTTCTTTAAGAATAAGAAGAACTGAAGAAATGGAGGATGATTTGAAGAACAGGAAAGTGCACGTGCAAGACAAGAGCTGGTTGGTCAAAACGTCTAGACTAGAATCTAGAATATTCTGAATCACATTGCTGACCTGTGGCAATTTTGATTGCTGCTTCCCCTTTTGTTCAGTTTGTTGTTCCGTTTGATTATGTAGTTTGTTCCAGTTGTGTTGGCTTCTCATGTTATTATTCAGCATGTTCTTGCTATAGATGTTGCCTTGTCCGATCTCTCATTTTGCTTTTCCTGTTTGTTCATGGTTCCAAGCCGTACCCAGGAAGTAATTTATATTTGTTCAAGGCCTGCCAACCGTTTTAAATGCTTCCCCTTCTTAGTCTTAGCTGGTTCCCCTACCCTTTTTGGCCAGCTGCTCTCCCGTTACTGGTCTAGTTAGTTACTTAATATTTCTTATTCAATGTTTCCTGCGGTCCAGTGGTGCTTTGTTACGACCATTTTCCTGCTCTCTTACGGTAACTATATTGTTCTAGAACAGAAGACGGTTCAGAAACTAGCTCCGATTCAGAAACTACGATTCAGAAACTACAGAGTGCCCCGATTCAGAAACTCACCCGATTGAGAAACTATCCGATTCAGAAACTGGGGGTGGGGTGGGGTGGGGATCTAATGAAATGTTTGTGTTAGACCCGATTCAGAAACTATCCGATTCAGACCCGTTCTAGTTTCCGAATCCGCGCTCCTTCTAGTTTCCGAATCCGCCGTTGACCTATGGTTTGATATAGTAATTTGTTCACACATTCGTCGTATTCTTTGGCCCGGTAGATGTTCTATGTGTTGCTTACCTCTTTCTATTACTATTCAGAGTCTGTCATTCAAGCGAATATATAGAGAATATTAAACACACAAGTGCAATAATAGAAGGAGCTAGAATCAACGATAAAGCAGCTGGACAAGATGCACGAGAGGCTCCTGTTCTTATTTAGATATCCCATGATATCCGGACTTATTCACTCAATGTCCAATTCCATGTTTTTCTTCAACTCTTCCTCTCTATAGTCTTCACTCACCAAACCTTTTCGGGACCTTAAGCCAATCCCCGGAAATCCAGCAAAAGAATGACCCCCAAACCTGGAAGGACAAGCTTCGAAACCAGAGGGACGTCGACGTCGACCACCCGAACCGCGGAACCTCCACTGCAGCCTCTTCATCGGGCGCAACTGCCGCCTCTTCATCGGCGTCGGGGCAAGCGGCAGAGAGCTATGACACACGAGTGTGAGACCGAAGGTCATGAGGATCCCAGATTTCTAGATGATTAACTGTTGAAGGAAGAAAGCAGTTGTGACCCAGGTAGATGGGGGTAGATCGACCTTATGGAGAGATCCAAATCGTTGCTTTGAGGGCTGGTGCAGGAGTTCTTCCATCAACAGAATCGACAGATGCAGATCATTTGGGTTTGGAATGCGCACCCAGCCAAACCCCGAAATGGTCGCTTTCAGCATGGGGGCAGTACTGCCACACATCCCCTTTAAGAGGGATTTGCGGTGGCAGATGGCGGGTTTGGACCCCGTGGAGGGAATTTCCGATGGCGCAGACTCCCTCAACGCCGGGCTCAAAGATTTGGGGTTTGATTTTTCAGTTGGTCAATCAATCGTTTGAGCCAACGAACGGCGTGGGGTGTCGAACGGCGGCTGGGGTGATATAACCCACCGGCCTGGCCAGATCCAAGCTGGGATCTCCGCCCATCTCCGAGCAACAGACTCGATGGTGGAACAGGTTTACTCTCCCGACCTTTTTTGGGTCACTGGAATCCCAGGCTGCAGCACTCAGGTTCTCGTTCCATCAGCATGCAGCATGTGCTGAATTTTGTGCTGAATTTTGATTTCGGAACATCCAGTGACCGACGTGGAGAATTCCAGGCAGCCTCAAGCAACTTGACGCTCGCTGGGAAAGGAGAAGTTCATGGGTTCATTGTACAGATTTTGTGGTTCTAGGACGGCCTCCTGGCCAATTCAGGAAACTTGTACAGGGAATAGGACTTCATTTCACTGGAAGTGGAGAAGCCAAGCAGCGCCTGAACGGCAGTGGTCGAAGGCACTGTGTGGTCACTTTGCTTGAATTGAATAGCGTTGTCTCGGATTGAGATGAGAAAAGGCAATCGGAGCCGATGTGATTGAGAGAAGGTCAATCCAGTACAACACATCCATTTGTTTCTCCAGATGTCCTTCATGGCAGGTGGGGGACAGGATCCTACAAGGCGTGCCGTGCGCGAAGACCTTTCAAGACCTGCTGCGGATCGTGAAGCATTGGGCACAACAGCGGGGCATCTATGGACTCCCAGCTGCAGGGGAAAGGACTCCGTTTGCAGCGCCGAACTCGTGTGGCACGGTGAGTTCAGCACACTGCATTGCTTTGCCAAGTGGATTTGCTGTATTTTAGCGTGGGGATGCGTATAGAAAAAAGATACCTACTCGTTTTTGCCGCACCAACTTACTCAAGATTCTAGGGGTACAACATGCTAATTATGTCACTCTTGACGCAATCTTTGAGCAGTTTGTTTGCCCGAAGCCTCTCATTGCCGAGGAAGTTTATTCGGTCTGTTTCATGGCACTGCCTGGGCGATTTGCTGCGCAGCTCAGCTGAACTGGTCATAATCACACTCGGAAGACTGCTGCGAGGATGCTGCAGTACTTAGAAGACTGCTTTCCCTGCTGTTTGCAGAATCCCCCACACTGACAGGCAGCATTGACCCGTGCCATTGCCGGACACCCCTCCCGTCGTTGCTGCCCCCCAAGGCCAGGGTTTGCCAGAATCATCCCGAGACCACAGTGGGGACCTCAGACCTAGAATTTTTCCAGAGCAGAACGGCAGAAAACATCAGAAATCGCATGTCACGGCGATGTAGATGGATGGAAGATGATGGAAGTGTGAGAGAAGAAAATGGAGGTGGCACTAGTCTCCATAGGCCAGCTTGGAAGAAGAGATGATAGGAAGATTAGGAATCGGGATCAGATTTTGACTCTAATTATCATTTTGGGTAATTCGCTTGTCCTTTTTGGAAATCCCCTGTCAGCAGATCTCTCGGACTCCTTGGAAAAGTGCGGGGTGGGCCTGGATGGCCTGGCTTGGGGATGAATGGGCTTTAATTTGGTATTCAAAGCCGCATCCAAGCCGCGGATTTGGCTGATGGTATCCCTATAAGCGTTTTTGGTCCAATGTGTCCAGAACGAGCTACAGGCAGGCCAAGTGAGTGCCTTCGGTACCAGAGCGCTTCCCCAAAACCGGACGGGTTTTGGGCCGGGCAGCGTTCTGAAGTTCACAGGGACAGTCGACGCCCCTCCCGAGGAGTCGCTGAAGCTGTTTAGGGGTCGAACTTGGCTTTGAGATCAAGAGGTCGAAGAAGCAAACGAGTTCAGTGTTAACATTATCATTTTTGCACCAATAGAACATGATACAACATGATAGAACAAGGTAGAACAATTCGAAAAGTGCTGATTAGTGTGAACACCGAATCATGCATCCGATGCCGTTCCTCGTTGTTTTCGGGACCGGCGTTGGTTGTCTTGTTACCGTCCCAGCTTTTTGTTCAAGAAAAGTCCAACAAAAAGAAGGCCCGACGCTTTCGTGAGGCCTTGGCTGAGCTCCTGGAATTCTTCTTCCAGGACTTGTGCAGCTGGGACTGGTCAGCACCCATTTGCTTGGCTTCCGACGCTTCCGACGCGGACCTCGTGTCGCCCAGCGTCACGCGGACGAACGTCCTGGTGCAGATGCCCGGGATCAACCTGGCAGCCAGCCGGAACGTCAGCGAACCTGTGCCTTGGATAGAGGGCAGATATCGGTTGTCGAGTTGTTGGATGATGACGTTGGATGTGGATAGGGGCAGTGACGAGCCCTGGTTTGGGAAGCAAGGGTGCAGGTTGCAAGTTGGATGTATGTTAGTACACCTTGTACAAGTCGAATCTAGAGTTCCTCCCAGAGATCCACGAGAGGTGTCATAACAATTCATAAGATCTCACTTGGAGAAACGAATTGTGGACCTTAGCAATCATTAGGCCAATGCTGGAGTGCATTCCCTCCTTCCACATACTTCTCCCACAAAGGTGCTATCTTGCAGTAGCGCAACACACCCAGCCCAGCATACGATGAGGATGAAAGATACAATGAATTTAATGTAGCTATAACCGCGCTAGCCAAGGATATTGCCATGTAGAAAAATAAAGGAAAGAAACATATTAATAGTATGAACCTTGGCTAGCGAGGGACCTCCAAATGAAAGTGAATATATGAAAGAAAATATAAATTAAAGTAATGCTTATCCTTGGCTGGGAAAGGGAAGGCCTCCAATGCCTTAGTTGGACGGAAACTGAAGAGACTTGAAGGGCTCAGATCACAACAGTCCAACCGACGTCGTTCGTTCGAGTTCCGCCCACGGCGGCCAGGGGTCTCATGGTTTCGCAGGATCAAAGCCATGGGAGGTGGCAATGACCTCCCAAGTATTTTTCCGTGCTAAGGCTGTTGCCATGTACACTGGTACACTTCTTTCGGTCGAGCCCATCCCACCCATGAAAAGAACGCTCATACATGCTGTTGACAAAGCAATCAACAAGCTGACAAAGCTCCAAGCAGGGCGTAGAAGACTCCTGCTGTAGGCCTTGGCATTTTTGTCTATCTCAGGTTGCTAACCGAGTGACAAGTAGGCAGTATATGGGTTAACACCTTCTGAACAGGAGTGGCCTCTATCAGCATTATCAGCTGGGCACCGACTCCTCCGTGCGCCAGGGCACCCGTCTCCCCTTGTGTCGTCGTGCTGCGCGCCTGCGCCGCGCCAGGTGATGCGTGTCTTGCAGCGTGAGCTCCGCCGGGCGGAACTGAAGCAGCCACCCGAGCTGTGGGCCGCGTGGAACCGGGAAGGAAGGGTATGAAGGGGGACGGGAAGAACGTTTGCTGCGGTGGCTCCATTGCGGGGTGGTTCTTGGCGTGTTGTTGGTGTGTTCATGGTGTTAATTTGCACAGTGTTGTTGTTTTTTTTTTTCAGTTTCGGGAGGCAATATAAAGTAAACGTGGTTCGAAAGTGCCTCCCAAGAGTTGAACGGGGCAACAAGTCAACAACCCCCTCCAAAAAAAACTCGAGTGCAGATAATGGGGGCGAAATCAACCAGTGACTAAATCAGAGGTTTTGAGAGGGAGAGAGTTCTTAAGTGGAGCAAACCGTCGTATGCAAAAAATGCCATAGGTCGAACGACATACTTTTTGGAGCAGCAAGGTGGTGATATGTTTATTTGTGTGCGTGTCTTCTTGACCTGCACCTGGCGGAACCGGACACTATGAGGATTTTTCACCTTACACACTCGGAACCACAGCACTCTCTCCGGTTCAACTTTTGGCGCTCCCATGGGTGATGGGTCACTTTTGGATATTCCGACAAACATATCCATGGCGGACATTTGCGCGGAATATGGCGGACACTTGCGAACTGGACATTTGCAGCAAATGGGACACCTCAAAAAAAGCACGTCAGCGATGTTCAGCGCATGTTTGGTCCAGCATGGCACTTGTGCTTGCGGTTTGAAATGTCGCACTTTTTGGGAATCGGGTGGTCCAGGCAGGGAGAGAAGCTTATGAACCAACAGTCACTTTTATGTTCAGCATGTCCGCTATAGTGCTTCGACAGAAGCTGTGGGTATTCCCAGCTTAAGCGTGAGAGAACCACTACTAAAGAGAGCGAAACCAACAGTCACTGGAAACAGACAAATGATTCACTAATGGATACTAATGGAACAATTGAATTGGAAAGTCACCAAACCAAACTACCGGACCTAGCGTTCAATATAGCAGACCTGAGCCTCTGGGTTTCTTTCACCATCCCATGCTTGGAGCTCGTGAACGTTCGTCAGGCGCCCCTCGTCTCGCCTCAAGCGGCGCACCGAGGCCGAACATCACTTCTTCCAGCGTCATCGTCTCTCGGCGAGCGGAAAGACGTGGAGCCGAGAGATGGCCGAAGTGATGATCTAGTATCATGGTACTTATTGACCATAGTATTAACATGTATTAACCATATATTAAATATTAAACACCTACTTAATTTAATGGTTTTAGACTATTGCATTAATAAGCTTAATAGATGTGAAGAGGTTGTTCAATCCACATCGTGCGTTTTTTCATCCCACAGGCGCCCATATGTTTGAATGCCCTTCTTCGTGACGGAGGTTCGACAAACGCGCTCCCGGGAGAGGTTCCCACAATCGGAAAAGCTACGAACACAAGACCCACCCTTGGAGCCCAAACAAAAAGGTCCAAACAAATGGCCCAAGAAGAATGTTCATGTGATTGCCGATCAGAAAAGCAGAGTTGTTTGGTGCTTGTGGTAAGTGGCTTAAATGGCACAGGCCAACAACTGTCACTTATGTGTGTTGCAACATTTGTGTAGCGGGTCCTGGTTTACATGGCACCTTCAAGGTTCAATGCACAGTGTCCGGGTTGTTTTATATATATTATCTTTTCATATGTTTGTATGCTTACAATATCCAAGTGCAGGTTCTTGATCGTTCCGGACTGTTAAAAGTGTAGCACTATAAGAACAAGGGACTTCTTGGTATTTGGGTCTTGTTCAACGTGGAGATTCAGTGCTTCTGAACATAATGTTAAAAGTGATTGTGGGCCGTTATAAACACTAGTTCAGCTCCCAACTTGCAGTAGCTGATAAGGCGAGGCCAGAGGATCCTATCAAAAAGCCTTAAAGTGAAGCTGTGGGTTTTGCAGTTCAAGGCGCCCAGGGACCAGCATGCTTTGGAGAAAGCAACCCAGACCAACGTTATTCGACCTCACACCCGCCTTTGTTGATGGACGGACCGACCCTACCGATTGCACGGACCGACGGCAACATCCGATTGGGTTTGCCTTCGGACCCAGGGCTTCACGCGAGATCTCTCCAGGGTTTGGCGTGGATCAAGTTGCGTCAGCAAAGACGGTTGGAATAGGGTCGGCCAGTCGGCGGTCACAGAGGTATAGATCATGATACCCAGACCTTCCATGTATGGCACAAGCCTATATTGCTTGGGATAGATCTCGAAGTTGACCGATTCTCGCACCGAGCGCTGGAAGGCCACTACCTCCGTTTCGACTTCATGGCGAGCAGCGAGGAGATCCTGGAGAAGTGGTGGGAGCCTCCCACTGCAAGATGTGATCGTCAAACTCAAGCATTTCAGTGGGTGATGGGTCATTGATGGGTCATTCAAGAGTGCTTTTCGACTCCGTTGTTTGATGGGATACGCCTCGAAGAGGCTCTATGCCACTATTATGACACTACTGTTCTGTTTGGGAAGAACCATTTCTGCCACTCCGCGTCTTCTGAAGATGAACCTGTTCTTCGCACTATAGATTCGATAATCCGGTTTGGTGCGGCAGAGAGAGAGAGAGAGAGATCAATACACAAATACGTTGTTTATATAAGTATTTAAACAGATATATACTAATATCATATATATAAATATATAGCTGCCAGATTGGCATTCTGCCTGGCCACCCCAGTGCCATAGCCTAGGCTTGGGGTCAACAACAACTTCCAGAGTTGCTGCCTCTCTTCGAGTCCCTGATGGATCGCAAGGCAGTGTGCAGCTGCACAATGCAGCTGCCTGCGATCTACGCTCACGGCCCACCGGTGCCACTGGTGTTGGCATTCTTCCTCACATGCCCGGGTTGTTTCGCATGTGAACCACTTTCAGAGAGGTACGGTGAGGAGGTTCAGGGGGATTGTTGTTGGGAAGTGGTTTGTTTTGCTTATTGCCTTCCTCAGAAGAGCTTCTTCGGATGCTTTAGAAGAAGCCGAAGCCCATGCGCCACTGTGCAAGAAGAAGCCGTTCGTTTGATGTGCGGCTTCAGGAGCTAAAGGACTAGTGATCTGAAGGAGCTTCTTAACAGCCAAGTTGCCATCTATATGCTTCTTCAGTCCCGATGGATCTAGGATGGATGCCAAGACTCAAAAAGAGCAGCATGGTGACGGACCAAGTGTTGCCCCCTTTTCATCTCCTCAAGCCTCCGTGTCATAAGCCTCAAACTGCAATCCTCCTCCAAAACTGCATTGGAAATGATCATGTCCATGCAGGTCTTTGCATGTCCTTCGGCTCCAGCTTTCCCCTGCTCTTCTCCACCTGCAGCAGGTGCTGCTACGGCCTTGGCCCCGGCCCTTGGCCTTCAAAGATCACACCTGGCCGCACGCCAAGGCAACGGAACCCAGACCGGACGGGAGACGGCCAGCAACCGGGAGACGGCGATCAAAGCCTGCTTGGGTTTGGGATAGTGGGCGATACGCCCATCCCCTGGTGGAAATTGATACTCAATGGCGCGTGAGTGTGAGTGAGGGTCTTTTGAATCTTTTGATGTTTTTGACCCTCCATGGTTGAAGTAGGTTGGTATTAGGGATGGTGAGTAAGATGCATTTGGCCAGCTTCCGGGTGCTTTTGCCTTTGGATTTTCTGGAGAACAAACACCTAGAGTTTGCGATTTGGATTTTGCAAATCCACCTTCGACACAGTACAGACACGGCAGCAAACGTAAGGCTTGTCTAAGACGTCACCTTAGAGGTCCTTTCATTGCCTAGTCGCCAAGATCTACGGCAAGCAGCCATTGATGGAGGCAGCCCCACGAGGCAGAAAAAAAGATCTAATGACTTGGAGAAATCAATGCATCCCAGCTTGGAACGGAATTTGTGGTCTCCGAATCATCGGCGCCATGGGTTTTGGTGCCGGAATGAGGACAGGGCGGAGGTGAAGCATCCGACCGGCCAGGCCATTTTCATTGGATTGCACATCCAGAGAACGGAGCAGAAGAGCACGCTTGATCTTCGGGACGCTCCAATGAAAGGATATCCGTGCGGAATGTAGAGGACTAGATTCTTCCAGGATGGCTCGAAGGACCTGGTACAAGATGGTACAAGGATGGCTTTCCAGACCAATCTCTTGCGGGGGAAATATCATCAATGCACAAACTGACCTGCGGAGTTTCAGTAGAAGCTGAAAGCTGTTGGTATAAGTGGCTTTTTCACCAAGATGTTGCCATACTTACCATGCTCCTTCAAGGGGCCGATTCCCATTTGCATCCGTACAAGTGGGACTGTGTGTCCTTGATATGGTACACCATGAGTCCTCTGAGTCCACGACACCGCGCCCCGGGATTCGGTTCCACGACACCGCGCCCGATGGCTCAAAGCAATTTGTTTGCACTCCTCCGTCCGGAAAGAACTGCAAGAAATGAAGGGATCAAGGCGGATGGTGGGCCCTAAACCCGTTTTAACCCGAAGTGGGTGAAAAGAACAATCCAGGAATGCTTGATCCCCTCTCCCACTTAAACAGTAACAATACGTAAAAATGACAGACAGATGTCTTCCACATCTTCGGGGAAAGCCTTTTGAACAAGCTGAATGGACGGACAGCGTTTAAGGAAATCATGGTGAAGTTCCTGGAAAAGATCAGTGCGTGGCCGGAAGCAGCGTCTTGGCACCGACCCAACAGAGTGATGACTGTGGAACCGTTTCTTCAGTCGAGGGCGTGGTGAACATTGGTAGTTAGAGCTCACATGCTTCAAGCAGCAAAGATGCCTTCCACTTGCAAAACAACATTTCTAGAGAGGAAACGGGTTTTGACTGTATATGTGTAAAACCTTGGTTTTACTGATGGGGCCTCAGGTTCCTCACAGTTGTTTTGTGATGGTTTGTGTTGGTGCCGAATATTGTGTTTATACAATCTCTATATATTCTTCTGAAATAATGATAGCCCTTCACCACAAATTACTTGGTTGGATGGATCGTCAAGTAGCAGTAGCATGAGCAACAGGACTTGTTCAATGTGCCACAACTATAGAATCATATAGTAGATGTTTCATTCATGTGACACCAAGAAGAACATCTATAGGTTGTCCGACATATGGCCGGCCGCGCGTGTTCCTCTTCATCCTTTTCTTTTTGCAGCACTGTGCCAGGATGCTCACATGCACCACTTCGAGTTGATGATCCGCGCTGTGTCCTTGGAACAGATGAAGACCTGGCTTCAAGAACCGGGCGTTCAAGGCCAGGGACGTCCAGGGACAGACACGACGTGGGCGTTTGCTGCGGTCGTTTTGAGAGAGTGGTTGATCACATGCAGCGCATCGTGCGGCACCCATGATGTGCTATCAGAATCGATGTGCAGCATTATATAATTATGTGCATACCTTTCACATCAAGCAGCATGATGTATAATATGTGTAAGTAGGTGTAATTTGGTCCTTTACTGTACCTTGTTTAAATCCCTTTAACTCTTGTTCTTTAGCCCTTGCCGAAAAGCCTTTCTTTCTTCTGAACGCCCCAAACATATATTTTTTTCAGCAACCCCTTTCCTTTACCCCCGCGACCCTTTTTTAAGCACGAACATTCTGTTTCAATCCCCGAACCTTTTATCTTAACCCCTTTGCCCTGGGTGCGATCTGCCGCAGCTGTTCTCGACCCCGGCCTTCCATCTCACACAAAAGACACTGCGCCCCCCACCTGCTTTATCATATTGCATCTTTATCATGTTCGGATTCTTGCGGGAAAGCCAATCATAGGGAGATTGTTGAAACATGTTGCAGCAAGAAGAGGAATAGACCACGGCACGCAATGCAGGGGCAGGTGCTACGCCCTCCCCGGTGTAGTGGGGTTCCTGCGGGAAAACCAACCACGGAGGCGCTGCACCTCCCCCTGCGACCCCCCACCCGCTTTGTCATGTTGTGTGGTCATGTGCCGGAGGTTGTTGACACAAAAGACGAGTAGGAGGTTCAGAAAAAGCTTGGGAGGTTTGCAAAAGGTCGGGAGGTTAAACAAAGGGCTGGGGTGCAACAAAAGGCTTGGTGATTAAGTAATTTTGATTGGGCTTGAAAGGTGTTCGGTCAAAAGAGGTTGTTAAAATAACTTGGGTGGTCAAAAACGGTTTGAGCTGGGAGGTACAACAGGGTTTGGGTGGAACGAAAAACGGGGTAGTTCAACCAGGTGTTGGGTGGTCAAAAGATGGGTTCTCCGTAGATTGAGGTAAACATGCATATAAAGCCGCCCTTGAGTACATAGAATAAAGAATTGAGCCGCCAAAATACATTCCGTCATGTCAATTCCATAACCCTGCTTTGACCCAAAGAGAAATAGGTGCTTGGAATATCCCCAAGCGGATCAGTTTGGGTACCTCAATATTTTGGAATATATAAGTTCGTACTCTCGGTTGTTTCGTTTGGGGCAAGCGGGTGTTTCGATAGCACAATCCTGAAGATGATTTTAAGGATCCTATTCCATGTATTATTTTGTTGGTTGAGTGCCGCGGGATTGAGTTGCACCGGAATTCTTTGTACTGTACTTCAGGATGGTTATATATATATATATTTACAAGTTATATACATGTCATTGTATACATTTGCATGCATCATATTACATGAAATATCACAAAGACGAGGAAACTGGTAAGACCTATATAGACAAAAGATCTAATTAATTAATCAAAGTGGGAGCAAACCAGTCTTCATGTTTGGTAGGGAGCGTTTGAAGAGGCACGGCGAATCAACGACACGTACTTTTCCCAGGCACCAAGCGTCCGAAAATGTTGTCTCTACTAAACCGATTTGGTGCATCCAATAGTTGAGGGATCGTGTCACCCTGGATTGCAGCCCAATAGGAATCATCATCATTGGATTTGCAGCCTTTTGATCAACCTTCACTATTCACTGGACTCCGTGTTGGGGTTGGTGTGAGCCTTATGTATGCACCAACTCATCAGTGGAAACCATGTCAATTTCCATTATAACTTTCCTTATGTCTGATTGACTCGGAGTGTCACCGCGGAGTCATTTTCGCCGAAGTCGGTCCACTCCTTGAGGCATGACGACGTGTGGCGCTGCTTTTCCCGTGGGCTTGCGGGAAGCTCCGGGCCTGGTGAAGGCGGAGGTGGGAAATTGGAGCTGCGCGGCCAAGGCCCAAAAACATGGAGATCCCCGCTCGTACTCCCAGAATGACATCCCGAACTAGACCCGTTTGGTCGGTACCAACGGGGATCATGAAGGGTGATAGATGTCCATTCCAGCGGACTGACTTCGCCACGCGCGTCTCGATGCATCACCGTGACTACTTGACGGGTTCAAGTCACGGTGGTTGCTGAAGACTTGGAAAGGAGGAGGGTCAAACAAACAAGACTGCGATTGATGAAGGCTCTTCGTAAGTGATGAAGACTCTTGATAGAACAGTTTGAGCTAGGCTTTAAATACACAAGTTTGTGAGGCAGTGGCCCAGAACTTTGTCCAATGCTTTTCCATGCTTTTCCTATTTGTGAAAGTGTCGCTGCACCATTATCGCTTTCGAGACTTTGGTCATGCCTGTGGGTTCAGGTGGATGAGTAAAGATTTTGTTCCCAAATGGCGATCAATTTTGGAAGAATCATGGATGGTTCAACACTGATGAGACACCCTACATCAAGTATTGCTGGACAATACTCCAAATTCTCCAGTTCCGAACTTCCAATGATGAGGGCCGGATCCAGATCCTTGCTGAAAGCAGGTAAATCCAAGACATATCAATTTGCATTGATAAATCATACGAACTTGTTTTGTTTGATTGATTTTGATTGTGATAAAAAGCAAAGGTCAGATCAACATTTGATGTTACTTTTTCTTCAGCACCCTGCAGCTTTGTGAATAGATCTGCCAGGTGGCGCAGTGACCACCGATCGCCGGTGGGTGCGACCGGTGGCTGCTCCAGGCCTGTGGAGTGGGGCGACTCGACCGAATGGGGCGACTCGACCCGATTGCCAAGGCATGACTGGGCCCAGTAAGTTCCAATTCATCCATCGAAGCACTCACGCAGCTTGGTCCATGCTTTGATCTATACCTTCTTTTGGGAACACCTTTGACCCCCCCGCAAGCAACCGCTATGGCCATGTACCACCTAGTGCGAAGTCCTTCCAGGCTACCGACCGAGAAACACCGCAGATGGGACCATCCCCAGCGTGGGAAGGCTTCACCTCGCGACCGATGACGAGGCTTCCATGCTGATTAACCTCGCCATGAGAATAGCTGGGGGATGAGCGATTTCAAGGATGATTGGTGAGTATGCCGGAGGGTGATCCACGTGTCACGCCAAATGTTTCATGCATTGAACTACAGTGCCTTAGATTTGTTTGATATGGCTGAGACCCATTAGAGGACTGATGATTCACCAAGGGCACCCTCTGAGGCCTGCACTCATCCTTGAAACTTTACTGGTTGGATGTGCGCGCTCCCGATATTGGAATGATGCAATATGTATAAAATAAGCAAACAACATATACAGTAAACAAAAACACATCAAAGCAAGAAATGCGCACTCATCCAAAAATACAAGTATGCAAAAAAGCCACCAGCACCGTTACTTTGAGTGTTGGCAGGGGAACTCCCATGCCAGCATGTTTGAACCTTTCTGAATTTCTTCAGCGTTGCCGCTGGCCGTTAGATGTTTTCAAGAACCTTTGCAAGAAAAAAGGCACCAGGCTTTATATTTGACGCACGGCTTGAACAAGAATCAGAACACAGTCGAAGCCAAGGGTTCATGGAAGCTATCTTATTTACTTCTCTATGTTATGACTTACGTTATGAAAGGCAGCCGATAGGCTAGGTTAGTTTTTGCGAACGAAAACAGTTACCCAGGGGTTGTAGGGGGGCTGCAGCGAGGAGGGTTGCTGAAAAGGACGCAGTTGTTGCATGTCTCGGTTGGTGCTACAAGGTGCTACGCCCGCCACGCGTCGAAAACAGACCAGAGGCACAAACACGTATATTATATATTCATATAACCCTCATCGTCAGGGACAAAAGAAACTTACCAGTTCTTTATCTAACACCCTGGAGTACGTTCGCGCACCGTACAAAGGCATACACTTGGATGACAATCAACTTCCCCCAAGTATGGGCAGACATGTAAGCTGAGCCTTCGCTACCTGTTTGCCAAACCGGTAGGGTCGGGCGTCCCTGGTGTCTTGCGTTCAATCAGCAGCAGCTACCGCAAGCGTGGGCTGATGTGCAACGTGAATTCTCGGTCTCGGGGCCAGAACATTTGCCACCTGTGGGGAGCAGATGTCAGACGTTTTCAGTTGTACAATGCCCATATATGCAACTGATTGCCAAAATTAACACCTTCAACACGTGCAATATTCATGTTTTCATGGTTCTGTTTCATCTTCAGGACACCTACCATGGAAGGCGCGTTTGCAAGCCACTGGTGGACTGTTTCAACTTTCAAGTAATGCCATGTGCCTTTATCATAAAGTGATCCTCCAGCACATGAAATCAATGTGCACACTTAAACAAAGGACCTCTTGGGGAACCTTAATGTTGTGGTTGAAACAGTTCAAAGGTCCTATTTGTGATGATTCTATTGAAGAGGTCCTTTGTGATTCCTACCCGTTTTGGCATCCTTTCAGCGGAATCCGTGCAAGCAAGCTTGCCAATGTGCCAATGCTCATCAGGGCCATAGCGCACACAAACAAATCTCAGAAGATAATATATTGATATATTGTCACGAAAGCTAGCGAAGCTAGCTGGAGTTACTCTTGCGATAGCAAGGTTTCTTTCGATCGGGTGCAAATCCTAACCCCTGATCTTTCAGGTCGAAGCCCCCCCCCCCTCCCCCCCTCCTTGTCTTCCTCCCACCTTCCCTCCCTCCCTCCCTCCTCCCTCTTCGCTCTTTGGCATGCGGTTAGCGTTGCGTATCTTGCGGCCGCACTCGCTCACTCTCACTCTCACTCTCACTCTCACTTTCACTCTCACTCTCACTCTCACTCTCACTCTCACTCTCACTCTCACTCTCACTGTCTCTCTCTCTCTCTCATCTCTCTCATCTCTCTCTCTCATCTCTCTCTCATCTCTCCCTCATCTCTTTCTCATCTCTCTCTCATCTCTCTCTCCTCTCTCTCTCTCTCTCTCTCCTCTCTGCCTCTCGTCTTTCCGTCTCTCTTCTCTCTCTTCTCTCGCAGGAGGATCCGGGCAAAGAGCCACATATAAAGGACTCTTCACCTGGAATCGTTTGCCCCGCCCAACTTGTGCAAGGCGTCCTGCCTTCTGCTACTCCGTGCGACTGCCTCCAAAAAGAGCGCCGTTTTTTTTCCTACCTCGCTGCCCTCCACTTTCCCATTCTGGAGCGCTAGCTTTCGCCCCCCCCTTGGCCTCAACTATATATATATACTTATATACATATATATTGCTATTTATATTGCTCAGAGTGGGGGGTTGCTCCACTGCCATCATTTGCGGCAGCCAACACTCAGAAAAGGTTCCTGCTCTATGGCACTGTGATAAGCAAAGTGATCCGTTGCTGTATGTTTGATGTCATGCTATACAGATGGACAAGGACTTGGGCAAATGCTCCATGAAGGCACAGATTGCCAAAATACATTGGCTCCGGTGTTCCGACCTCCTGTGCGGTGCCCACATCAAAATTTGTGTGGACTGATTAGCTTGGAAACGGCGGTTGTCCTGTAGGTGCTCCTCTTTTGGAGCACGATGGGTGTTGCTTTCTTTGTGAGTTTGCAGAACTTCCTTCAACACAGTTCCACAGTTTCCCAACCTGTTTCAGGAGCTAGGGTAGGTGATGCTTGGGAAACATATCTGAAGTACTCGTGTGAATCAGCATATCTTGGAGGACTTCCATGGGCTTTGGACTTGCTTCACACAGCAAAAATACTTTTATCCCTTAGCCTACACTAGCCTGGGTTTTGCGCAGATTCGGTACTGTCTTTGAACAACCAGGTGATACCTATCCTGTAATTGCTAAGCCTGGTCACATTCCAAGGAAGGATAGGAGTTTGAAATTAAGGCGCTTGGGAAAGCCCGTGTCAGTACCGTGGGGCCACTTGGGCCTGCAAACATGCGACACGCATGGCAAGCTAGGCTGCCTGGATTCCAGGAAGAAATAGCTCTCCCGCGTACCGGCCGGAGTGTTTTTCGTGGAAAACGCACCCAGTGGGGGCTCAAAATTCACCATTGGTCACAAGTTAAGGTATACTCTGTTTTGTTTGTTTTGGTACTCCGTTTGTTTTGTGTGCACTTTCAGATTTCGTCGATTGAGATGTTTTGCTGCCTGGTAGTCGATCTCCGGCAAGCTGCTAAGCCTTCATGATCTAACCGGCCGGCGCTTGGATCAAGCTACCCTCCAGCAGGTTGGCAGAAAAACGTGACAGCACGAACGTTCTTAATGTTTTGGCATTGGTTGAAGGTTTTTTGAAGGTTGAAGTCCAACATAGTCCACCCTCCCATAGAGAATAGAAAATTAATGAAGATTAATGAAGAACCCCTTTGTAGAGCTAAGCTGTTGAGGAGATGTTGCAGTCGATTACGGCTTCTTGTGTTCAATTGCCAAAGGCTCCCTGAACAGAACGGAGGTTGAACCTTCAAAAATTCCAAAATGAGGCCCTAGTGACTAGTGGGAACTCGTCAGGTCATGACTTTTCATGAGGCTCCTTGAAATGCGAATAGAATCCGAATAGAACTCAGTTTGTGGCGATATGGTTTGATCAGTTGTGGTGACCGGTGCCTCTCACTCCACGTCGCGTCCCCTCTTGGACTGGAATTGGTACCAGGGAGATCGCCAGGCCATTGGAAATCCAATTTTAGTCTCAAGGACTGGGATTTGCTGTGCCTCATGAAAAAAACAGAACGTAATACAGTAGATATCATAGGAGAATTACATATTTTTCTGGTCAAGCCAACACACAGAAACCAAGGGCATGCTAAGGTATGCCAAGTTACACAGAAATACACAGACATGAATAGATATGATATGGACAATTATTCCTTTTGCCAATGACCATGTTATGTGTTGGAACATGTTTTAACCATTTTGCGCTCCACCTTTTCAGAACCCAAAGTAAACCTCCACCTTTCCCCACCCAAGCCCAAACAACGTCCTCAGAAGGGACGCTCCGTCGCCACGACGGCGAGCTGCCCAGGCGCCCCCACACGTGACACACACGGCCATCACCGGGCTCCGCTTGAGCTGGTGCGGGGAGGGTCGGCATGAATCGTGCAGTTTGGGGTTCGTGAATTCCAGCACAAATTGGCTCATTTCGGAGATTTTGGAGTCAACTGTTGATGTTCACCGGTTGGTTTTGTTTGTTTGTTTGTTTGTTTATTTGCTTGCTTCCATTCCTAGCCTAGCCATGCCTAGCCCATCTAAAATTACACTGTTTATACAGTAGTTTGTGTCTCCAAATGTTCAGGGGTTCTATGCTTTGCAGTGTGAGGAACTTAAGTTGCTTTGGGTGGGCAAACAGAGCACCTGTGTCCCTGAAAGCTGGAAAGTGTCCTCGGCCGAAGCTGAGCAGCTCTTTGTTTTGGTTCTTTTATTGGGGACAGGATTGACAATTGAGCGGTGGGGACATGGCATTTGTTGGTTGGACATCCTTGTGGAACTCCATCTGACTATTTTTTCAGTGTGTTTCAACATCCAGTTGACACCCGCTTTTCCCAACAACCTGTTCGGTTCGTTGTTTTGGATGTGATGAAGTTTCATTTTGCTAGAGCCTGGAACCCAGGTATAGGGAGACGGCTTTCTTTTTGCAACATTGGTCATCCATGTGCTTGTGTAACAGAATCACATGGTCCGCTAAAGTTTATGTTCGCTAGCCATCACAAGAAAGTTTGAGAACATTATGACATTATGAGCCAGAAGTTGCGTCGGAGATTATGGGAATATGTGGGCACGAACCACGAACGCAACTATGACATACTATGACCAGGGTGGACGAGGCTACTGAGCGATGATGACCATGCAATTGTCCTCGTTGGAAGAAGCATTTGGAGCTTGATGCGATCTATATAACAGAATCTCACAGCAACTTCCAGTTACTGATACAATAACGAATCGTTGCGGGGCATTTACTTGACCACTCTATGAACTCCTATTTGATTTGAATCGGACTTCTAGAAGGAAAGGATGACTTTGTTGAGATCGGTTGAAGAAACTACTGACATCAACTTTCATGGCCATGAAGCCCTAGGGCTAGGAGACTCCGTTTCCGTTTCACCCATCACGTGCGGCACATGTGTCAACTCTCATCGCGGCCAAGAGCTTCGGTGAGCCATACGCACCGTTCCTCGGGTCCGGCTGC